ATGTGTGTGTGTGTGTGTGTGTGTGTGTGTGTGTGTGTGTGCGTGTATGTATGTGTGTGTTCTGTATGTGTGTATCTATCTTTCTTTCTCTCCACCCAACCACCAACCACCACCACCACCACCAACTCTAATTCCCACAGATAAGGAAATACTACTGGTGCAGATATTTTCTCCAAAATATTCTTTTTTTTTTTCAAAAGGACAAAAACAATATTTCCCATTTTCCCCTCTTTCTTTTTATCACAATACTCACTAAATACATCTTTTTTATGCCTAAAACGCACCCCCCCACCCCCCTTACAGACATCGCCTTATACTGGGTGCTCATTGCGGATGGGATCGGGTCGAGTTTTTGAGACGACGAGTCGGGCGATCAGTTTCCGCCACGACTGCTGCTTTGCGCCCTGAATCTGGCTAGCAAGCCGACCGCACCCGACCCGACCCGACCCGACCCGATCGTGCCAATGGGCACTCGGTATATTATTATCCCACCGTGTAGATGGTGCCCCACTTCCAGAAAAACTCCCTGAAGTACGACTTCTTGGCGCAAGTCACAAACATGACGGTGCAGGTGCTTGCTGACATGAAGTACCAGCTCCCACACGCCACCACATGGAAAGTATCCACGGTCTCCCTGCCTCCCACGTAGATGGCGCATCTGGGGAATGCACAGAAAAAAAAGTCAGCTGTATTATTATTATTATTATCGCCATTATCATCATTATTATTAATGTAATGTTATTATTGATAATGTTACTAATATATTGATTTTGTGAGGCATCGTGGTGAAATCAGGTGCTCCTCAAAATACCGAAATCGAAGAAATCAGCATTTTTCTGCCAGTTGGAAATTTTTTCTCGAATTTTTTTTTTTTTTTACCTCAACACTTTTCATGTCCCTTTAAAAATATATTTCTGTTGGGATTTCACTGAAAAACTGTGATTAAAGACACAACAATTGCAGGTTTTCAGTTTCTATAAAGCCTATCGATCTTTGGAAGTCATCAGACTTTGGTGGCCATTTTCTCGTTAATTTTACCTCTGAAACAAGGCGACCCCCTCCTCCTTCAATGGCAAATGTCTCGACTTCTATTTAAGGTAGATTGGTATTTCTTTTATCCTTAGCACGGCAAACGAACAAGCGTTAAGCTTATACCAAAAACTCCACATGCCTCAAGATTGATGAGCGGCTGGTTCCAACTCGTTGTGACACATATTTATCATTTTTATAAATATGATTATCATTATTGTTATCACTGTTGTTACTGTTATTGTTATAGTTATTGTAATTGATACTATTATCATTATCATAAATACCATTGTTATTATATTATCATCATCATTAGTAGTACTACTATATTAATAGTATAATAATAATAATTATTA